TTTAAGTCTATGTATACGTATGTGATAAGATAGTAAGCAGGCAAGAATTTTAAAAACCTTAGGAATGCATAGTCTATGACTTAATTCGGTGAGAATGTAAATGTAAGTACATCCTATAAGACGTGCGTATAATTGAATAAATAAGACACATTATTGCTGTCTTAATGGCTGATTCTTATGGGCTGGGATGAGTGGTGACCACCGACATGTGCATTGCAGTGTGATTCATTCGAAGGTTCTGGTTATCAGAACAGAACATAACAGTTGATTCTCTCAAAACCACCGGCATAGAGTACAAATGAGCACAAAAGAGTAAGCATTTAAACATAAAGTATTAATATGGGATAGTATGTCATGCATGGATATATCATATCTGTTTTGTGTTTTCGTACGTTCTAAAATATTTCATCAATAAATCTCGATAGGATCTTAAGATCTCTAGTGTTTTGACTGAACAATTACCTCTTAAATATATATATAAAAAGACCATGTGAGTGAGTAAGTGAGTATGGTTTTACGCCGCTTTTAGCAATATTCCAGCAATAACACGGCGGGGGACACCAGAAGTTGGCTTCACACACTGTACCCATGTCGGGAATCCAACCCGGGTCTTCGGTGTGACGAGGGAACGCTTTAACCACTAGGCTACCCGACCGCCCCAAATAGACCATGTATTTTGGTCAGCAATTGGTAAGTATACAAATCTATGTTTTGACAGAGCCTGGCATCTAAACAGATAATGAAAATCGTCTGCAACTGAAGGAGAGTTGCACAGTTCACATACACGATCCTCTTTCTTTACATTATTCCAACGGCCGGTTTCAATTGGTAGATTATGGTTACATGTTCTGAATGTTAAGATTGGAATGTACATTTTTTTTGTCATTAAAAGGTATCTTTCTAATTGTGGCTTTTCTGTCAGATACTGATAACAGTAACCTTTACTGCTCAAAGCCATATTTCATCTCCATTCTTGTAGGAATTGATCCTGTAGTACCTCGCCTACCTCAGCAACCAGTGGTATTACAGATAATAGGGTTATAGAATATGTGTGTTAGTCCACGGTTTTTTAAATATAGTTTTAATCGATTCTAGCCATGGATTACTTACATCATGATTCCATTTATAAAAGTGATAAATCATTTATAAAAGTTTCTTATCACACACAGGTGTTGCGATGTTATGCCAGAATTTCATTACACGTTTTGAGACAGTTATGCGTAGAGGTTCCGGGCCTAATTCGCCATGTACCATAAGTTTGGAGTTGATGCTCTTAATCCAGTAGCAAGTTTTAAAACTGTTAAATGAACACTCTCAATAATTTGTAAATTTTCGAATCCTCATATTTCTGAACCATATAACAAGATACGTGATACCATAGAATCAAAAGCCAAGATAAGGTAATCGAGAGGTAAATTAATATTTCTTGCTCTCTTCAGGAGGCAGAACACAGCTTTCTTAGCATAAGAGGCAATAGATTTGATCGTGCTTATCATCCTTCGATTTCTATGGAATGTTATGCCAAGGTAAACATACAGGCAGCTATCTACTATCTCGATGTGTTTTCCACCAAACATAAACTGGAGTTTACTTCGTTTAGCAGGGCCACTGTCAAATATAATAATTTTGTTTTCGAAAATGTTAACATCTAGTTTTTATTTACTGCAGTATATTCTAAATGAGTAAAGGGTTTTCTGTCAATCGGCGGGGCATCTACTAAATAAGACTGTATCATCAGCATACAGTGAAATTAGTACAATTGTAATAATAAGTTTGCCTCATCACCAAGATTCAAATAAACTTTAACACCGTGACGATATGTTCCAATAGAGATTGCTCGAGGTAATTTATGTACAATAGAAATAGTAATGGGGGTAAACGATCTCCTTGCCTAACTCCGGAAAGGCTTGGGAAAAAAAACTGATATTTCATTGTTTACAACAGCACACAATTTAATACTGCTGTACAAGTTTTTAATTAGGATGAGAAATTTACCTCTAACGCCTCTTTTCAACAGTTTGTGCCAAAGACCTATTCTCCACTTTTTGTCAAAAACCTTGGTAAAATCTATAAAAGCATAATACAACTTTTGTTTGCTGTGCTTAAGGCTCTGCATTGACATATTGATGATAAACATGTTGTCTACTGTTGAGTTGTTTTTCCTAAATCCAGCTTGTGCGGGAGACATGGTGTTATTGTTATCAGTGAAAAATGACAATCATTTATTTAGTTTACTCGTAAAAAGTTTCCCCAAGCAACTCAAAATTGTGATTTGTCTGTAAGAGTTCGGATCTAGTGGGTTACCTTTCTTTTTAAATACAGGCTTTTCGTGTGTTTCCGATAGTAAACACAGCATTTTGACAGCTTTGCGTATTTTTTCTATTGTGATATCACTATTAAGCGGTTCATCATCGTGCATAGTAGTATTTGGATATTCTTTATCAATAGTTGTGTCTGTATTCATGTCTTTATTGATATCTTTATAAAATTCATAAAATGTGTTCAATTTCAGGCTCAGTGTTATTTACCTTACTCTTATTTTTGTTCAAAGCTGTCCAGAATTCACGTGGACTGTTTTCGATTGGCTCTGAATAAATTACATAAACAGTTTCTATGTTTCTTGATGTGTTTGTCTAGCCTTTTCGTATATGCCTTCAATTGCTCTCGGAAAAGCTTTCTTTTGTCAGTAGTGTTCGTTTTCTTAAGTTTATTTTTAGCTTTACGGAAGTAGTTCCTTTGTTTTTTTACATTCGTTACCGAACCAAGGTTTTCTATTTTCTCTTCGTGGGAGCGTCCGCATCACGTCGGTAACAAGGTCTTACCCCGAATGTGGCACGTGCAGCGTCGACAATCACATGTGCGATTTCGTTAGCTTTATCATTCATAGTTCTTGGGTCAGCTACTTCCAAACGCGATACTTTGCTAATTTGACAAAACAAATTATCAAAATATATCTGGCTTTGAGTAATCTCAAATCTTTTGGGCTTAGGTTCACAGACCGACTTATTTTTCACTGTTTTTGTAACGGGGTTTTGACTTTGAATGATCTAGAGAAAATCGTACTTGGTAATGTACATCACAAAACAATGAGTAGTAACTTTTAATTTCAAAATCTTTAAATAAAGGAAGACGAAGTCGATGAGATTATGTAATCGATCACACTCTTGTTTTGCAAGATAAATAAGTTCTGATTCTTGCATAGTTCTTTCAATTTTGCACCTGAAGTATCAACTTGTGATGTATCTTTTGACGACCTAACCTTGGAAGAAAAAGGGTTAGGTCGAGTACTGCTTCAGGTTCGAGTTCAGATCTCAAATCACTTATGTCTATGTCCAACTCCTCAAGTATGAATTTCCCTATGGTACAATAGTCACACAAGTTACTAGTTTTAGCGCTGAAATCGCCCATCAATACAACATTATCACTTAAGGATGGAGTGTGTAATATGGATTGTTCAAGTTTATAGTATTCTTCTTCATTAAAGTTTTTAGAGTTTTCGGTTGGAATATATACTACTCCAACATACGGGCCTTGCTCGGTATTAAATAGCTCCTTAGAAATTTTAACCCAGAGAATATACTCACACATTTCCTCAATGGGGTTGGCATATTTCGCATATTTTTCTTTTATTGCAAAACCGACACCTCCTGGACTTCTTAAAGCACTGCTCCTATGTTGGAGATAGACATGACCACCCTCAATTTTTTTTTTCTTGGAAGCCTAGCATATCATTGTTAGCCTTTAGAGGGGACACGGGTGGCCCAGTCATCTAAGGCGCCGCGATTCGCTGTGCAGAGTTGCGTCCCTTGGGCACGCCAGAAACCTATGATTGTGGGTTCGAATCCCGGTTCGCCCCGATTAGGTTTCTAGGTTTGTCAGGACCATACCCGTGCTCGTGGGTTTCACTGAAGAGGTAAACGTCTGAGACCTGCATCACTTCGCGCTTTCCTCCCACATTAAGCTGACACGCCGTGATATAACTGGAATACTGTTAAAAGTGGCGTTATACCCAAATCACTCACTCACTAGCAATTAGATCCATGAATTCAGTACACAATGCTTATCTGGGAACCTTGAATAGACTGACGTCGTGACGGTAGCCACTTTCAAACATGGATGTATTATTTCTTTTGCCCGACAGATTGTATCTGTTGTAGTAGTCTTTCAAATTCGGGTCAAAACAATGTTTCCTAGTGTGGAAGATATGGTACAGAAGTTACAAGAATACAAACATCAAACATTTAGGTAATACATATACGGAAGTAGCTACTTTCAAGATGAAGGCATCACTTGTATACAAAAGGTGGATAAATATATATTTCGTTCGCAGTACATGAAAAACATGTAGGAGGGAATATTTCAGTATGCTTTCTGCATAAAACGTACACAATTGTTCCAATGCGTTAATAAGATCAGATATCAGTATACCATACTGTAAAATCATGCCGTATAAGCGAAGTTGAGTCTCAAAACGCCATAATGCGTTTTGTCAAATATTTCACGCCATGTGATTAAACTGAAGTATATATTTCTTATTGCTGCGTGGGGTTATGGATATTCACACTCTGGATGATTAAATGTCACTTAGCCATAAAGTACACACTTGAGTGGTGTTCTATTATGTTTAAAACGTTCTTCGTCCCTTAACATAAGGGAAGCATTTAGGTGGAACAGCTCTTCACTCAGCCTTGTTCGAGGATTTTCAATTACGGCACCAATTTAATTGTACCATCTCCATTAAAACACAAGGTTAGTCTAAAAATCGACATCTTAGAAAACAAATAGTTTGCTCTACCCCAGTGTGAAGTGTAATTAATTGTATATTTTCCTTAAACTATTATAATGTAAAAGCACTTCTTGCTTTAACTATAATAGCTCAGGGCAAAGCTATCAGTTATTACATGACAAATAGGGGTAGCGCGAACGTTATTTCTGAAATAGCATGTGAACCTCTTTGAATAATTTGCTTCGTGTGGGATTTAAATCAAAAGAATAAAAAAAAAGCTTCAAGATAATTTTATCTACTGAAGTGTTCCAACAACGAGTGCGACGGACGTCACAGTACCTCCGTCTCCATCAAATGTCATGTTGACAGTGTTTGTTGGGTGGACCAGTGATTCGGGGACCATGTACTCCCACACGTTCCAGTTTGTTTTCCCGAGAATCTTCATAGCATCAAAGAGCATGTAGCTTGCAGACAATGCGTGGCCATTGAACACAACTTCCTGGGGTTTTGCATTGGCGTTCTTGTCTCGGCTAACTCCTACTCTAAGACGAGATGTATGATAGCCAGAGCCGGGTAGACTGATGGTTGTCTGCGCATGTCCGTTGCTGATAGGGATCACCATGTCTTTGCCATAGTATGTGATCTGGTTGTCAGTGTGTATTCCGGCAAAGTTGTAGTTGGTTTTAAACTTGTAGAAGCAGGTTGAAGATCCCGGGAGACCAACGGTTCCATTATGCTCAGACATGTTGAAAGGGTAATTGAGATGAACAGCTGGATTACCATTTTCGAACAGAATGCATGTTTCTGTACCAGTAGAAGGGTTGAACCAGCTGTTGTTAAAGTCAAGTTTCACATTCTCATATTTACTGCCATAGTTGTGGAGAAGAACTACCATCTCTTTAGTGTGAGGGTTTGCAAGGGCAAGTGGTGCAACTATTCTCTCCTGCCCATTGTACTGACTTGAGACTCGCAGAAACGTTTGATTAGAATTAAAGTTATGCCAAAAGGTGTAGAATTTGGCTGCTGAAAGGGGATGACCGTCCGTGGTGAACAAGGAATTTCGAAGGGAAGTATGACCTGGGTATTGTTCATTTGCGAGGAGATATGCTGTAACTCTGTCTATAAACTCTCTTAGAGTAAGAAAAGTAAACATGAAGCCGTTAAGTTGATAAATGGTCTGGAAGTCTATTATTCCATTTTCAAAGTTGGGGCTAACGCCTAGATTAAGTAAACCTAATCCAAATTCAGTGTTAACTAACTGAACACCTTTTCCTTTCTTTTGATGAGAGTAATTCTCCACCATATCAAGAGAAGCAACTAGTCGAGCTTCGTTGATACCATAGTAGGTATAATTACTAAAGTTGGTGTGATTTCTGCCTGGTATATGCAGATAGTTGTAGGAATGGAAAGAGAAAAAGTCCAAGTGATCAAGAGACATGTCCAGGAACTTAGCAGTTCTCTTCCAGTAGCTGAAGTCATTTTCATCTGCTTGTCGTAAGGCAAAACTGGTGTACGATGGGCCTGCAACTTTCATTCCAAATCTTGATTTCAGCTTATCAGCGACGGCCCTTTGGTAATCTACATTCGTTTGTGGGTCAATAATCTTTTCGGCCCAATCAGGTTCATTGATGACTTCAAATATGTAGGGAAGGCGTCCTCCTATGTAACTCTTGGCACTCTGCACCATCAGCGACACAAGTTCTGATGCAGCGTCAACGTTGTTGGGGAATCCACCTTGATGATTAGACTTATTCATCCAAATGGGCCAACTCAAACCTAAATATACAACACATTATGTAATGAGAAAAACTGTACATCAAACATGTTCATTCCATGTCAAATGGTTTTCTAGGTAAATGAGTGCGTGCGGATAGGGGAAGCTGCAGACAATTACATTTCTGGTGAATTAATAGATCATGGGTATTCTGCCGAAAGAAAATAAAATATTAGTAGCTAAACGTGATTCTAATCAACGACCAATGAAACAGTAATTACAGACTGATGACTGGACTGCCTTAGGCACTGCAACACATGTACCACATCTGCTTTGTATTGAGTTATCTTTCCAAAACCATGTTCCTCTTTTAATATACTTCTTAAACCTATTTAAGAAATATAAACCTTTCATTTCCCAGACCATGTCGTCGACGACACTCCCATAGCCAGTCAGTTGAAACATGTAGGAACCCCATGTCCTTCTCTGCAGTGCATGGTCCTGAAGATAGGTGGGGTCTGGGTAACCATGGTGACTAGGGTTTTGAGGCCACTGAATAAAAACATAATATAAAGTAGGTATTTGTCAATTTTCTCAGAGACGGAACAACTGGATCATATGTTGATCATATGAATATAGTGTGCAAGAATATATTTTCCCTCACCTAACCCATAGTCCTGAGTTTCACCATTGGTGTTTCAACTTATATGTGTCCTCTCAAATGACAATAGCGAAATATACGATATGTTCTACACACTGACTTTATACGCCATCACGGGATAAATATAGAGTTGCGTGTCATTGTAAAATATTTGATGAGTTTACTGACCACACTTACTGTTCATGGGTCTATAATCACGCAGTGATACATGCCTCATCTGAGGTTGTTTGCCCCTCTTAACAATGATCCACACAAGTGGGATGGGATAACATGCATCAACCAAGTCAGCGAGGCTGACCACCCGATCCCGTTTGTTGACTCTTACGACAAGCATAGTTGCCTTTTAAATCAAGCATGGGTTGCTGAAGACTTGTTCTACACCGGATCTTCAAGGGTACTGGGACATTGAAATTATACATGAATCATTTCATTTCCTAAACTCTTTTTTCTGATTAGAATTTTTTTTTTTCTTCATACATACATTTGCAAAGAGATTCTCCCTCAGGTCTCTGTTCACCCAACGCCCGGGAGCCGTTCCGATAGATTTACAATTAGGAATTAGTGTCCTTTTGTCGAGAGCATTATGTTTGTTCCATCTTTCAGGTTCATAATGGACACGGCCACCCTGGGAGAGCCACTCGTTGTAGATTGTGACGGTTGTGTCAGAGAACGCCGCTCCCCAGAGCAACAAGGTGCACAGAACCAGTAGAAACATTCTTCAGTGAAACTAGGATTTTTCTGTTCAAAAACGTGGTCTTTTAAATGGTATATTCATGGCTGTTATCTACACATGAATGCAGTATGTGACAGCTGCCAGGTAATATGTGAAACATATTTGAGATAAGAGTAGACCATGATAAGGAAAGGCGTGTCAGTCTCGACAGACGTCTCCTCTGCTCTTTCTGCACCATTTACACGTCAGGCAGCCTGAAAACGAAAACGTTTTGCTATTGTTCATTTTACTGTCAATCAGAGTCTGGCACATTCCTATCCTGGGCTGTTCGGTGCGAATTTGACATCAGATATCGCTTCTTAACATGTTTTCGCTGCTGTCTTAATAACTTCTTTCAAAGTAGCAACAGTGTCATCTTCCAGGACAGGGGTGTATATTGTGTCCTTCCTCAATAAATAACTTGTCAAATCATGGATGTACACGTTGTTCCTTTCCCACTGGCTTTGATCAGCATTGGTTTTAGCTTTGCTCATTTCTTTCTCACAGCTTTTTGAGAACTCTGCATTAATCCACATTAATCCTTTTGCTCCAGTACTACATGTCTGTCACTGGTCTTAAGGGTCAAGTCAAACGTTGATAGTACTGTGCCTTTTATGCAAATAAATGTTAAAACAGGGTTGTGTCCAGTAGCAAGTCAGAAGTGCTGTATGTTCTTTGACATGGTTTCAAATACAGATACAAACATCATGCTCAGTGGCACTAAAGCTCAGTTGGTGTAATATTGTTTTTAATGCACGGCCGAGAGACAATTGCAACTTTGTATGATGCTAAAGAGGAAATAAATATGTGATAATTCATAATAGCATATAAAAATCAAATACCAGTTGATTGTTTCTCTAATAATTCCAGTCCAATGCATATGCGTCATGAAGGATCTAAACTAATTGATCCTGCGTCATGTTGCTGTTGATCAGAAGTAGTTCATATTGCAGTAATCATTGACACAATTTGTGGGAAATAATTGAAGAATCCATAGCAATTCATTCGTCATATATAAGCAATGACTGACTACATGGTTTAGTGGCTAGAGAGTTCGCATAGAGAGCTGAGGGTGTATTATCCATGCAGTGTCATCAGAAATGACGCGAGTCCAATCGGTGTCCGTGGGTTCAATACCAAGTGCTGACAGCTCCAGAAATAGGGTTGGTGGACATAATGGCCTGGAGAATCGCGACGTCCTATTCTAATCTCAATTCATAATGGGCACGTTCATCGACGAGAACTATTTGTTGTCGGTGTTGACCCATGTGTCCACGTGCAACCAGCGCAACAGAGTGCACCAATCCTGGGGGCAACATATTTATGTCAGCGAAATTATAAGGAATATGCTCTACTTGTGATGGTGCCCGTGAAGATCCGGGGTAGAATAGGTCTTCAGCAACCCATGCTTGCCGTAAAAGGCGACTAACGGGATCGGGTGGTCAGGCTCGGTGACTTGGTTGATGCATGTCATCGGTCCCAATTGCGTGGATCGATGCTCATGATATCAATCACTGGATTGTCTGGTCCAGATTCGATTATTTACAGACCGCCGTCATATAGCTGGAATATTTGCTGAGTGCGGCGTTAAACAACAAACCAAACCAAACCAAAACTTGTGATAGAGTCTGACCACATTCCTGCAAGAGATACCAAAGAAGTGGGATCTAAAAATATACGTTAACCTCCCGTTACTTTTATCTGAAATACATAGTTGGCACACCTCTTTGTCATATCTTCAGATTTGTGTCTGTCCCTTTGCGTGTGGTTCAAAGTGAAAACGCACCCTTTTAAGAGGGTCCAGATTAGTTTTACTAATGAGTGTCAAAGTCAAAGACACCAACGCAAGCGAATACGATATAATGCTTAGCATCAAATGGAAACTGACTGCTTGTTGTAAAGTAAAACAAACCAACAAGAGACAGGTTCCTGGTCACAAAGTTTTACACTGCATAGCTATTAACACATTTGAAACGTTTATTGTTCCAGGTTAGGAGTCCCCTGGAACTTATGCTTGTATGGGGTGGTCAGGTTAGGTGACTTGGTTCAGTGTGTGCCATCATAACACGAAGGCCTGCGAGGGTGAGCGTAAAATTAATTCCTATTTGTTTCTGATGCAGACTTGATTCTTTATTTGGTGTCATACAGATAACCACAACATCCACTAATCCGCATCTTAAAAGCACAGGTTGATGGGAAACTATTCTTATCCGGAATCCCAACAAGGATATACTAGTGAGAAAGTGTGATGATCTTTTATCTTTTAACTTGCAAGAAGAAAGAAGAATTTATTTCCAAATGAGCTCGTCATAATGTATTACTATATCCAACCATTCCAGGCCAGCTTAATGTTTGAGGAAAGCCCGATGTGATGCAGGACTCAGACGTTTACTACTTTGTTGAAACCCACGAGCACGGGTTTGTTGCTGAAAAACCTAGATACATAATCGGGGCGAACAGGATTCCAATTGGCTCCCAAGGGGCTCAAGTGGGCGACTGAGGCACACTGATGAAATATAATGAGTGGGCACCTTGATGATTATGAACACTGGATGGCTGATGAAAACTATTGTTGTCAACAAATACAGAAAGTCATTTGCAGAAAAAAATAGTTCATTGTTCCTTATAAACTGACCTTGCACTGTTTGCACAGTTGTAAGTCAAGTGTTTAATGACATAATGTTTAGTGATATAATGCCAACGGAATTAAAGTCAGGTTTGTTTACATGATCACCCGACTCGTGAAGATTTTGGGGGTAGAATAGGTCTTCAGCAACCCATGCTTGCCGTAAAAGGTGACTATGCTTGTCGTAAAAGGCGACTAACGGGATCGAGTGGTCAGGCTCGCTGACTGGGTTGATGCATGTCATCGATCCCAATTGCGTGGATCGATGCTCATGATATTAATCACTGGATTGTCTGCTCAAGACTCGATCATTTACAGACCACCATCATATAGAATACTGCTGAGTGCGGCGTTAAAAACAACAAACAAACAAACAAACATAATCAGTCACACATCGGGAAACAGCTACGAAATGATCTGAAATGATCTGATGACCGATAGCACGTTTGGGGCAAGCAAACACCTCATCGATGTGAAGAGGTTTTGTAAAAGAAGTTCCTGCGAGGTAACCTCACTTGCATATTTATCGGATTGAGATAAAAAATGTATTTGACTGGTTCATCACCTCGATAACAATAATCCTTTATTTGTATTCGTGGTAGCTTGAGTATATGGCATCTTTCAATTTGTATTGTACCTCAGAAAAATATATAACTGTATCCTCTAATCACATGCCACCTTCGACCCGTGAAGATTCCGGGGTAGAATAGGTCTTCTGCATCCCATGCTTGCCGTAAAAGGTGACTATGCGTTTCGTAAAAGGCGACTTACGGGATCGGGTGGTCAGGCTCCCTCACTTGGTTGATACATGTCATCGATTCCAATAACGTGGATCGATGCTCATGATATCAGTCATGGATTATCTGGTCCAGACTCGATTATTTACAGACTACCGACATATAACTGGAATTTTACTGAGTGCGGCGTTAAACAACCAACCAACCAACCAACATGCCACCTTCTCTTGGCACATCATTCCTCGTGTAGAACATGAATCAAAACAAACAAACTATTCTTTGAGGGAGTTTTATCTACTGAAGTTTTCCAACAACGAGTGCGACGGATGTCACGTGGCCACCGTTTCCATCAAAGGTCATGCTGACGTCGTTTGTTGTTTTAACCTGTGAGTGAGGGACTAAGAACTGCCACACGTTCCATGTTGTTTTCCCCTTAGTCTTCTCAGCATCAAACAGCATGTAGCTTGTAGACAATGCGTGGCCATTGAACAAAACCCCACGAGGTTTTACATTGGCGTGCTTGTCACAGCTAACTCCCACTCTAAGATGAGATGAATGATAGTCAGAGCTGGTTAGATTGATGGTTGTCTGCGCATGTCCGTTGTTGATGGGGATGACCATGTCCATGCCATAGTATGTGATCTGGTTGTCTGTGTGTATTCCGTCAAAGTTGTAGTTGGTTTTAAACTTGTAGAAGCAGGTTGATGATCCAGGGAGACTGACGGCACCATGAAGCTTAGATCTGTTGAAATGGTAACCGGAATGAATAGCTGGATTACCGTTTTCGAACACAACACATGTTTCTTCACCTGCAGAAGGGTTAATCCAATTGTTTGGGAAGTCGAGTTTTACATTCTCAATGTTACTGCCATAGTTGTGAAGAAGGACCACCATCTCTTTGGTGTGAGGGTTTGCAAGGGTAAGTGGTGCAACTATTCTCTCCTGTCCATCGTATTGACTTGACACTCTGAGAAACTTATGATCATAAATAAAGTTTTTCCAAAACATGTAGAATTTGGCCGCTGGAAGAGAATGACCATCCTTGGTAAATATGGAATTCCGAAGGGAAGTATGACCCGGGTATTGCTCATTTGAGAGGAGATAAGCTGTAACTCTGTCAATAAACTCTCTCAGAGTAAGAAAGGTAAACATGAAGCCGTTTTGTTGATAAATGGTTTCAAAGTCTGTCATTCCATTTTCAAAGTCGGGGCTAACGCCAAGATTAAGTAAACCTAATCCAAATTCAGTGTTAACTAACTGAACATTTTTTCCTTTCTTTTGATAAGAGTAATTTTCCACCATGTCAAGAGAAGCAACCAGATGAGCTTCGTTGATACCCGAGTAGGTGTGACTTTGACCTGTTATATGCAGACGGTTGTAGGAGTGGAAAGAGAAAAAGTCCAAGTGATCAAGAGACATGTCCAGAAATTTGGCAATTATCTTCCAGTTGCTGAAGTTATTTTCGTCTGCTTCTCCTAAGAACATACTGGTATACGTTGGTCCGGCAACTTTCATTCCAAATCTTGACTTCAGCTTATCAGCAACTGCCTTGTGGTAGTTTATATTTGTTTGTGGGTCAATTATATTTGGGAACCAATCAGGTTCATTGATGACTTCAAATATGTGGGGAATTCGTCCTCCAACGTAGTCCTTGGCACTCTGAACCATGAGTGACACAAACTCTGCTGCAGCGTCAACGTTGTTTGGGAATGTACCTTGATGATCAGACTTATTCATCCAGTTCGGCCAGCTCAAACCTATAAAGAAGAACATATACAGTCATAACAAATGTAACTCAAACATATTCATCTGATGTTAAACTACTTCATGCGTAAATGAGTCTGTCTGGAAAGGTGAAGTTGCACACATTTACGACGTTTGGTAGAATAATTGATCATGGGTATTCTTCAGACAGAAATATTAGCAGCTAAACTGGATTCTAGCCAATGGAACATTAATTAAAGGCTTACGGACTGAACTCAGAGAATGTTGGAGCCACAGACACCGCGAATCCTGTTAAGCATATGCTTGGTCTTCAGTTAACTTTCAAAACTTATGCTCCTCTTTTAATATACTACTTAAACCAATTAAATGACTTATAAAACCTTTCATTTCCCAGACCATGTCGTCGATGACATTCCCATAGCCATTCAGTTGAAACATATACGAATCGAATGTCCTTCTCTGGAGTGCATGGTCCTGGAGATAGGCAGGGTCTGGGTAACCAAGGTGATGAGGGTTTTGAGGCCACTGAATAAAATAAGATAAATTAGTATGCATTTGCCAGTTTTCTCTATGAAAGAATGATTGTTATTTTTTGCATGGCTTCCATGTTAGGAGTAAATCAACAAAAATATCCCGAGCCAGCATTGTCAAAACAAACATTTACACTGAATATTTTGATACGAAATAATACTCGTATAAAACATTAATGAAGATTACACGATATCTCATTTGGAACTTATGGTGGAATGCATGTGTGCTATATGTGACATAGCAGTATTTCCAGTCGTGTCATAACAACAAATAGTTAGTTTTGTCTATATTCTGAAAAAAGAAAATATTTGGATCGTATGAACAAGTGCAAGAATAGTTTCCATCCCCTAACCCGTAGTCCTGAGATTCATCCTTGGTGTTTAAGTTTTTTTCTTGCACAGTTTTCCTCTGAAATGACCATTGAGAAATACACTATGTATTCCACCAACAGTTATGCCCCTCTATACAATGCATCAGTTAATGCAGGCATAGACTGAACTGGTCAAGGTTGACATGGTTTGGCGATTTTTTGTTTTTGAAACTAATGTGCTACCAAGTGGCACCCTGAGTTCTACTGGGATTGAAACCAACATTTGCAGTAAAGGAACACATTAAATGATGTAATCTGATCTGTACTGTGAGTATATAAAAATACAATAGCTCACACACTACAACCGCCTCATTCCCATTTCAAGGTATCACAGCAAACAAGAAGACGTCGTTTTTATCCGTATGTTGTCTTTGAACGAAACAACGACGTTTTTGGACGCTTTGTTTCAATCGCTTTTTCATCCAAATAACGTCGTTATTTGACATCTGAATTGACTACGCGAGAACGATGCTATGAAGCTCCTCCCTTAAATGTCAATCAAGCATCATCGTTTACCGTTACTTCTATGTTCTCAGCTTTAAATGGATGCGAAAATGATGTACACACAGCTCTATTTGTTTGAGCAGTTTGCCTGAATGAAGACAAGATAATAACGTTCCTGAGAAGATACGTGTTCGGGACCTGTCTGTCTCACAGTTCCTCTAACATATTATTTTCTTACCAGCCCTTACTGTGATGCTTTAGTTCGGAATTAAGCAACTCAAGATTATCCTGAATCTCCCATCTCACTGCGGCTCCTTTTCAATTTAAATGTAGTTGTTTGTTCCTCTAAAATCATTAGTCTAGCTCACAACCTGTACAGTTTGCAAACATTAACCTGATTGTGGCGCTTTAAACAGTAAATAGATGAAAGTCCCAAGTCTTGTAAGATGCTGTTCGTGAGATCTTTTGTGTGTGTACTATATGGTAAAATAGTGAGGAACTCATTACTCTAACGCCTCCAGTGACTTTGTGTAGATGTTAAGCGTCAACACATGTATAAACGGTAACTGATTGTAAGACCCCCGAAAATACTGACTCGCTGATGCAGTTACAAACTGAAATAAAGCACCGCAACATTCATTCATTTTCACAGACCGCCTTAAAGGTAGCGTGGTGTCTCTTCAGGCACTCGTCCCAGTCACATTCTCTTCATGTGAGCATGCGTTACGATTATTTTGTGACTACTATAATATAAATCAAAGGTGTTTTATTTAACGAGCATGAATATCATATTCCACCAAGCGGTTGGTTCTGCATGAATTGTTCTTCATAAATACTTTAAATTATGAAATTAAGGAGTCACCAAATTAAGTGTCAACCCCCGGTCTTAAATGCGTGATGACATTAAAGCAAGTAGCCCTCCCTCTGAACTATAACAAATCAATCAGCAAACAATAGACGTTCAATTGATACATGTTGTTATTTTCACAAACTTCACTTTAACTGTTGATCTAACTACCATGAAGTCAGCAAGCAAGTTATGCATTATCACAGCATGGTGTCAGTGTAAAACGCTGATTCAAACTGAACAAAAAGGACCGCAACAGATTGCCTGTAGGTAGCGTGGTGTTTCTTCAGGCACTCATCCCAGTCACATTCTCTTCAAGTAATCATTCATTACGTCACATACATGCACATGTAGGAATATTTCTAATCAGTAGCACGAATAATGATAACGATGGTCATGTCAGGGCAATCAACATCGGGGAAATCTCTGTTTTAGAATAGCAGATATATACTGTACACAACAATAGCACCTCAGGTGCAGTTTATAGGGAGGATTGTGTTCACTCAGAGTTAAAATAAAGCTGCTAAATATACAAAAACTAGTTGCACAGTACTTTTAACGTGTACCATAAAAAGCAGAAACATTTCCTGTTTTTCAACAGGATAAATTCTCAGACAACATTTGGCAGTGTCTTTTTGCTAAACCAGTTTTTGCAGATTTGCAGTTACATTTACACCATAAGATAGGAAAGTTAATAGTCTACATCTCTGCATAATGTTATAGCCGTAGGGAGATTCAGTGCTGCGTGAGCGCATTTGTCACACAACCTTCACTTTTTCAAATCTCGGGAAAATGTGCGTCAGAAAAACCAGCATTCACCGTGTTAAACCAATTACCGTTTTTAGGGATACTGGTTGACTTCAAACTCTGATTTTGGATGGTATTTTGCCCCTTTCTGGGGAATCTTCATTTGATGTTTCGGTTTTGTTGGTCAAGGTCGGGGTTGAAGAAACTCTACCTGTTAAAGGTGTAGACTTACTTATTGGGAATCATCTTGAAAAAGAAATTCCAGGTATTTTTCCTTCATGTGTTGTTACAAAGCAAAGTCTTTCTGATAATGATTCCGGCTAAGGTTTGCCAGGCACCTTTATGGATCAATCTCCTGACCTGTCTACATTTTCGATGGAGAGTACTGAACATTCTGACAGTTTGACTCTTCAGGAACCAGTTCTGGATATGGAGCAGTTAGTTAAGTTACAGGGAGTAGACAAACTGATCTAAAACAACAAATAGATTTCTAAAAGAAACTGCACTCCTGAGTAGAGTCCCACTGTTGTTTAGTAACACCAAACACTAGGATTACCAAAAGCAAGAAACATATTAATTATTTACCACACTTATAACTCGACTTAATATGGGAGGGAAATAAGTGTTAAGTCAATGTTATGCTTGAAAACGTGCCACAATGTATCAACTGTGTTTAGATGGATTTATGTGCAATGTGAAATTCATCGGAGCTTGATTGGATATAGGACAATATGTTAGCAATAAATACCAGCCATAAAGTGTTCTTAAATTGTTGTGTGATCTCTGTTTGTTGTGGATGGATCTAAACATACACCTCTCTTCGTATCTGGTAAACGTAAAATTACATAATACACTGATGCAGAAAGATGTTTTGATAACACTGCGCTTCAGGCGATAATAGATAAAAAATAGACTGGTACGTAAAGTTGTGCATAAAGTTCAAGCGAACTGCACTGTCAGAGAAAGTAGATGACGCCCTATGTGTGGTTCTACTGTCCACTGTTGGGAAATTTGTGTTTTTTAATTCCACACTTTAAGGTCTGGAACCATTGGCCAATGTGACGTGAGAGGGCAGAGAGTGGTTTGGATATTCGATCTTAAGGACAGATAATTGCAATGACAAACAATAAAAAAAACAATGTTGAGTGTAAGTACCTGAGTACCTGAAAGTACTGAATCAATAATAGTCTATTCTAATCGCTGTAAGCAACATCTCATATTTCATAAGATTTACTTTCATTTACTGTTGTAACCAAATAATAGGCAACCGATTGTCCGATAGAGTTACATGTGCATAGCGGAGGGAGATGTGTATCAATATACATGGAATTGTGATTTAGTTTAATTTCTCGACGCATGTCTGAATCCCAGTGACAGGTTACAAATCCTAAAACTGACTTACCAGCAAATCTTGCTGTACCGCGCGGGACAGATATTAGAGAACAGCTTGCCCTGGCAGCCACAAATAGGAAACCTGCTACCTCCTTAAGACAGCCGTCGACATCATGTACGTCAGGGGGCTGCCGCAATGTAATAGGCAGTTAACATTTCCGTCTATTTTCCAATTGAAAACTTCGATGTTTTTACGGACACTTTCTGGACGCTCACCAATTAATCAATTTTAATGAATTTGTAGTCGTGTTCTGTCCAATGCCATTATACGAAAACCAACTATGCTACGTGTTTGCTGTGTATGTTGCGATACGACCCCTTGCAATAACAAAAAAACTATTAAAGCATGGATACGGTAGTCAAACTAGGATATTGAAATCATATATGAATGATATCATTTCCTAAAATCTTTCTGCATGGAAGATTCTTTTTACTTCATACGTACATTTGAAAAGAGATCTGCTCTCAGGTCTCTGTTCACCCAACGTCCGGGAGCTGTTCCGATAGATTTACAATTTGGAATTAGGGTCCTTGCGGTGAGCCCATTATGCTTGTTCCATCTTTGGGGTTCATAATGCACTCGTCCATCCTGGGCGAGCCACTCGTTGTGGATTGTCACAGTTGTGTCAGAGAAGGCCTCCTGCCACAGCAACAAGGTGCACAGAACCGGTAGTAACATTCTGCAGTGAAATATGGATACTTCTGTTCAACAACATGGACTTTTATTCAAGGTTGTAATCTACACGTGATCGCAGCACCTGACAGCTTTCGGGGATTTAGTAAATATATTTGTGATAAGCGTAGACAAAGTGAAAGATAAGGAAGTGTGTGTCAGACACAATAGAGGTTCCCTCTACTTTTTCTGCAACAATCATAGGCCAGCCAAGGCTTGTTTCCACTTATACATCATTATGTACATCATCGGGATATTAAACAAAGATAACAACACATGTCATGTCATGAGGGTTGTACTGTGCCATGCTATCGCTGTTCATATTATCAAATATATACTCCTCTTTTTGCCTGGGCCCAACTTGATTAAAGACTGCTGCAAAGTTTTTATATAAATTATATTTTAATAAAAGAGGTATTTTCATTCCTGATAATTATCTTGAAAAATGAAGTACATGTATGACAGCAAATCTACGCTTCATTGAATTTCGTACAATTAAAAAGCCAATGAACATAAAAAGA